CACCACCGTTGTCACAACTGTCGACTGATTCCGCTGTCGAAAATAACGCTGCGCCTGCAGAAAGTCCGAAAGTGAAAACGGTCGGGTTAATCTTCGATAATAACGATCGTGCTCGCAAGGTAGAAAACGTCGCGAACGTAGAACACGTCGCGGGACGGAATGCGCTTTCTTCGGAGATCTCTCCCGCCCGGAACTCGCGCTCGGCTGAGACTTCATTTATTAACTCTCGGTCGATCATATAAGAAGCGAATATCAGCGGTGATTTATGTTGCGATCCTCTTTGCGCCGCGCGAGAGAGCGAGGAAGCACCTCTACCTACCTCTCGTCGACGTTATTCGCGACCGCGCTGTCCTTGCCTCTGGTGCCGATTGCGCGCGCTCTCGCTCGCTCGCTCGTTCGTCCGTTCGTTCGTTCGTCTATAGCTCTCGGCTATCCCCGTGCGCTGTACATTTGCAAAAAGCCGGCTCTGGCAGGTGTTGCGGGTAGTAAATCGAGGGAGTTAAATGGACTCGGCGGAGAAAAATTGTCGAATCGTCTACTACTCCGTCCGGTCGGTCGGCCGGCCGGCCAAGCAAGCCCGAGCAGCCGACCAACCTACCTGCCGTGGCGCAACGTTGGAGAGAAGGAACGGTTCTCCTCAGAGTTCCTCAGGGCTGCTCGGGGCTGTGTGCAGCTTCTCGTCGTTGCGCACCGGTCGGTCGGTCGGTCGGTGCAGTAACCGCGCCGCAGCAGCGCCGCGTAGTAGTCGCTTACCGGTCGCCGCAGTAGAAAGGCCGGCGGAAGGTGGCGTGGCTTCATTACGTCCGTGGCAAATCGCAATCTACGAGCAATGAGCTTCTATCGTAAAGAAGCAGCACGTAACGTTCGCGCTTTTTGTCTCGTCCGCCACGTCTCTTCTCTGCCTCTCCGCGCACGGCTTGGCATCCTTTCGCGCGACCCTTCGCGCGCGTTCTCTTCCTCCCTCGGCCTCTCGAACTCTCCGCACAGTTCTTTTCTTCTCCTCTCCCGGCGTTCTCTCCCGGCCGTTCTCCATCTTCTCCGAGAGAAAGAGAGCTACTCTCTCACCCTCTTCACCTCTCTTTCTCTCTCTCTCTCTCTCTCACCTTTCTCGTGCGCGTCCCGCGGACGCCAATCGAGCGGAGCTTTTTTGCCGATAATTTCGCAGAACGGAAAAGTCGCCGAGTGAGATTGCCTTCTGAGCCGGCTGCTCTCTTCCCTCTTTCTCTCTCTCTCTCTCTCTCTCTCTCTCTCTCTCTATCTCTTTCTCTGTTCTGAGGGAGTGAGCGAGAAAGAGAGGAAGAGCACCGTTTTCTTCGTCGGGTCTCTCCGACGACCAACGCCGAGCGCGCTTGAGAGACCTTTGCTCGTCTATTCTCTCTCTTCTCCATTCCTTTCGTCTTTTCTCCTCTCCTCTGCTCTCTCTTTCCTTTTCCATTACGCACGGCCGAGTGAGCGTGAAAGAGCTCTGAAGCGCGGAAAATTCGGTGTGGTTGTGACCGCTGTTCTGGCCTGGGGAAACAATTGCATGCCGGGGAAAGTCCGGGTTAAAGCGCGAGGCCGGGCCTCGTAAGCGCCGCCGACCGATCCCGACAAACGAAATGCAAAATCCGTGCAAACGTTGCAAAACAACGGTCAATCGAGCGGCACAGGGAACGGACGTTTCAACGGTGCTTCCAAAGATCGGCACCGGCGATTTCTGCATTTTCAACCGTTTCTCCGAATGCTACACACGTAGCTACATGCTCGTTCAAAGAGAAGATCCCGCCTTTTGAAAGCGTATGTCGAGTATCGCGAGTCTCGCGAGTCTTGCGAGGGTCTCGTCTCGAGTACGATCGCGGGCGTTCGGGAGGGCGCGAAGGGCCTCTTGCGCGCGCGTTCCGCTAAATCGCGGGGAATTTCCTGCCGTGGCTAAACGGGGAATCCGCGGGCGCGCGCGCGCGCGAGGAGACACCACGTGGGCGGACAGAACAGCGTTCCGTTCTGGCTCTTCGGCCGCGCGTCGTAAACGGAAAGACGGCGAGACGCGTCTTCCGCGCGCGCGGCAGCGGAAGGCGGCAAAGCGAGCAACGCGAGGCGATGAGGCACAAAACTGTATGTTTGCTCGCGGAGAAAAAGCCGACGTTGAAGTGGACAAGAAAGAGGAAGAAGGAGAGCGCACATGCGAGATGAGACAGAGAAGAAGACGGAGCGGCAGGGGGGAGAGGAGGCTCTCCAGCCCTTCGCTTCGTACACGCGCTTAAATAATATTCCCATTAGCATAAGCGAGAAATGAGCCAATGAGATGCTAATTGCCGGTCTTGCGTTTGGAGAATAATTATTATTGCGAGGGCATTATTCGCTCTGTCGGATCTGCCTTCGTGATTTACTCGCGACGCGACGCGCGATGCCGCGCGGTGCGCAAGAAGTGACATTGGCTCGGTTATTAATTTTTCAGATATTAATTGTGCTACGCCGACGCGAGTATCGTGTTGGCGAGATTCCGTGTGTCGTGCGATCTCTCTCTCTCACTCTCTCTCTCTCTCCCTCCCTCCCTCCCTCCCTCCCTCCCTCC